GGGCTGTTGGCCTCCAGGATGCTGTGTCCCCAATTATGGCTCTCCATGGGACCACGCGACCGCATGCTGGGAGAGACCCTCGTGGCTGCCCTGGCCTCTGCATGGGCCTTAGACACCCTAATTCATCTGCAGCAGCCTCCTACTTCCACCCCCAATCGCGTTGTTCTGCCTCCTGCCTTTGCCCAATCTGGGCGCTCGGCCTGGAGGCCATATCTATTGTGCTCTGCTGATTGGCCCAACAGGAGGGACCCTGGGGGCAGTAGGAACTCCCATCGACCCCAGAGCTGACCCATGGCTGTAGCATCAACTGCCATTAGGCACCCAGGTGTTACTTTAGAAATAGATTGTGTTCTTCCCACCATAGACCCAAACCCTTTAGTTCCGCAGGGCGTTTCTCAGTTCCTTTCCACCCCTTAAATCAGCTGGACCCATCAGAGACAATGACAGCCCACCTAGGATCCTCAACTTGAGACCCGCTTCTCCCCCAAAACCAAGGGTTTGGAGACCTGGTATCCCCACTTGGTCCAGGCTAGGAGAACAATCCTTTCCTTCCACAGGAGCTGCTGGAGGCTTGGTGCCAGGCTTTGGCCGGGTCCCAGGTGCCGGATTCCCAGGGGTTGGAGTCCCAGGTGCCGGACTTCCAGGTGTTGGGGTTCCAGGTGTTGGGGTTCCAGGTGCAGGGGTTCCAGGTGAGCTGGTGTGTGTGTGTGTGTGTGTGTGTGTAAAGAGAAACACTGACACTATTGTCAAAACTTTGTCCTCTCCATACACTTGGAGAGACTATCCCACCTCCTACTTAGCTACTGCCAGCATCTTCTCCAGATCTTCTCCTGTCTGTTCCTTGGGTCAGGAAATGTGACTCTTTGATCTCCATGTTCCTAATCCTTAGCTGAGTAAAGGGTCCTTAGCTCAGTAAATTGCAGACAGACGGGTGGGGAGGTGGGGAGATGGGTGGCTGGGTAATGGTGGGGAGGTGGGTGCATAAGCACATGGTTGGATGAACAGATGAATAAATGAGCTGGTAACAGGAAATGCAAATGGGTAGTTGGATAGATGGTGAGATGAATAGTTAGGTAGGCAGTTGGGTAGGGAAGTGGCTGGTTAGCCGGGTGCACGGGTGGCCAGAGAGAAAAGTGCCTGAGTGGGTAGATCAAGATCCAAGGGTGGGCAGACAAACACAGACACAACAGGTCAGTGGTGGGAGAATGAGAGAGGACAGGGGTAGATGGGTACCAGCAGGTGAATGGCTGGGTGACTATATTGGCCACAGTCGTTAGGGGAACGATGGAACCAAAGCAGAGGCCTGTGTATAACCCTCATCTCTCCTGAGCACGCATGTCCCCTTGGTCTCTACAGGAGCTGTGTCACCAGCTGCTAAGGCAGCTGCCAAAGCTGCTAAATACGGTGAGTGCTGGACTTATCGGCTGGCCCTCTCATCTTCTACTCCCCCATTATACAGCCTAGAGAATGGGAGTGACTGGCCCAAGGGAGTGACATACCATGTCAGTGGCTCAGCCAGGATTTGGGGCTGTTGGCCTCCAGGATGCTGTGTCCCCAATTATGGCCCTCCACAAGGCTATGGGACTGCATGCTGGGAAGTCCAGGGATGGCATGCCTGCTGTGGACAGTGCCCCTGGGCATATCTGTCCTGGGCAGGGTTCTCAGAGGAACCCCAACCTGGCTGGGGATATGAGGCCTAACTTCAGTCTGTCCATAGTCACCAAAGGACCCCTCACCCGTGTGCTCAGAGAAGAAAGGGGTTGGGGAGCACAGGAATGGGAGTATTGGTAAAGGCTTTGTGGAGGAGGCTGGGGCTAGGGTGTGGGGCCCCCAGGCCTTCCATGATTCCTATTCTTCTTTGACCAGGTTTAAGGCCCCTGGTGGGGGAGGTTGTATCTTTTCCCCCAGGCAGCCAGCATCTCGCAGACCCTCTCACTGAGCCCTTTTCCACGGTCCTCACGGTCCTCTTCCTCTGCAGGGGCCAGAGGAGGAGTAGGAGTTGGCGGCGTCCCCACTTTTGGGGCTGGTGTTGGGGGCCTTCCCGGCTTTGGTGCTGGAGTCGGAGCAGGAGGTATTCCTGGAACTACCCTTACCCATGAGCCTTAGTTTCATCTGGGAAAACCAGGAGAAAGCATGAGGGCTTCACTTCTTTGGACTTCGGGGGGCGTGGGGGAGTGTGGGTGGAGATTCATTGTGCCCTGGAAGCGGGGTGGGGGGGCATGAAGAGTGGGCCTGAATCCCCGGAGCGGCTGGCGAACAGCTGCACGGCCTGGCTGAGACTGGCCGAGTTCTCTAAGGGTCTCCTTTCTCATTTCCTCAAACAGCAGCCCAGGCAGCAGCTAAGGCAGCTAAGTATGGTAAGTGTCCTGCCTGCCTGAGCCCAAGCCCGGGGCTGTGCCTTCCTGCCTCTCCCTCCCCGACTCTGCAGTCCCTTGGGGTCCCCGTTCTGAACTCAGAGCTGTTCTCCTGCCCAAGGGCAGAACAACCTCACATTTGGCTCTCCAGGGCTGATGGCCTGAACCAGTGTCGGGAGTCCCTGACCATCTTCCAGAGCCACACTGACCTTTCCGGCCTTTTCATTTTCTCACTGTTACTATTACTGGCACCCTATTATAGCTCCCACCCCACGCCAGTGAACGGGAGGTGCATACAGCCACAGTTCCCCACCCCACCTCTGCCCTCTGCTCCCTAAGTGGAGGGTGGTTGGAGCTTCAGAGCTACACACCTACTCATCACCCTCCAGGTGCTGCAGGAGGACTGGTGCCAGGTGCTGGTGGCATCGTACCAGGTGTGCCAGGCGTTGGAGGTGTGGCAGGTGAGCGGTGGCCCCCACAGAGACAGAGAAGGGGCCCTGGAGTTGACCCCACTCGAGTACATCATTTTAAAGATGACAAGAGAGCCCAGAGATGGGGAGCAAGGAAAGCAATTTCTCCTCGTTTAGAGGAACATCCCTTCTTGGGGTCCCAGTTTGCTGAGTCAGCCAAGCAAGTGCCCTGCCTACCTGGGGAGGTTCCGACAGCAGCTAACATCCTGCCAGATTGTGGAGCTCTGCTCTGCCAGGGCTGGGGGACCTCATTCACCCACAGGTGCCCCCTGGTTCCAAATCACGCAGGAGAACCTGTGTCACCCCTTGGCTCCCCTGAGCTTTTTCCTCCATTAGACACCAAAGGGAAAAGATGAAGAGTTACACAGCAGTTTAGTTGCAACTGCCCTTGTTTGGTTTTTCCCACCAGAAGATTTCTCTTCTGCATTCTTTCTAGGAGAAAATTCTCCTTGCAAGAGTTTCTGTAAGAAATGAGTTGCTTCCTACAATGGTTTTGAATACAGGTTCTCTTAGGGTTTTTTAAAATTTAAAACGGCTTAAGAAGAAAGCTCACGAGTCTTTTAGAGGGAGGTTGGGAGGGAGTGAGGATCGGAGCCTCTACCAGGTAGGGCGCTGGGCTCTGCTCCACTGCTGGCAGAAATCCTAGAGTCCCAGGGGAACTTACCTGGCTGGGCCTGTGGGTGCCCTGTCTCTAGAGCAAGCAGGCAGCTCTGGGAGGGACCTCTGGGAACAGAATAGTCCCCTAGAGGTGTGCCCCAATGGGGCACAGGGAGGGCGGAGGTTCTGGGAACTGCTCCCCAATTCTGCTCATCACTTCCTCAGGAGCAGGGACCCCAGCAGCTGCTGCTGCTGCTGCTAAAGCTGCTGCCAAAGCTGCCCAGTATGGTACGTACCCCCGCCCCATGCAATCCACTCCCGGCCTGCATCCTAGAACCCGGCTGTCTCCTAGCCCTGGCTCTGGGGGTGGCACTCAGCTCCCTTTAAGTAAACTTCCTGAGGCTGTCCCCTGCCGCTCATGGGCCTTTCTCACAGCTTTCATCCTACTGGTTACTTTTGGGGGTACAGGTCAAGTGCCTGATTAGGAAGCAAGTGAGAGAGGGACTGTGTGTCCTCCAGAACCCAGTTACCCTCTGCAAAGCCCATGTGCCCCCCAGTCCAGCTGGAGCCTGCCCCCTGTGCACCTCCTTCTGGGCTCACAACCTCCTGAACTTGGCAAAGTGGAACACTTCAGAGCCCAGTTGTATGCCAGCCCTCTCCAGCGGGTTCTACATGCCTCAGTTTTAAGGACCTACGTGTGGCAACACTTAAATCAGAAAATCTAGGACTGGGGCCCTCCCTGGTGGTACGACAGGTTAAGGCACAGCTCTGCAAGTGAGCTGCAACCACTTTAGTGCAGAGTTCGATCCCCAGTCCCAGAGGTGATCCCACCGTGTGGCAGACCTCTCCTGACCCGCCTGCTGCTCCCCTCAGCAGTGTACTTAGTCGATCTGTCTGTTCTGCTCCCCACTCTGTCTCTGGTGACTCCTCTCACTGCCCCCGCACCTCCAGCCTGCACCCCAGCTCTGAATGCATAAGTAAATAAATCTTTAAAAAGAAAAGAAAGTCTAGGACTGTCTAGACCAGAAGAACCTTAACTTCAGACCTGCCAACCCTCACCCTCGCAAATGAAAAATGACCCTTTTTTGCTGAGGGAATCTTTACAGCAAAATTGTGAAGTTGGTATTATTATTCCCATTTCACAGATGTGAAAATCGAGGTTCCAAAGCTTAAGTTGCCCATCGTCACATAGCTAAATGAGCTGAGCTTCAAATCCATCACCTGAGTCCCATAACTTCTCCATCCCTGAGAAGCCTCAAGGGGTCCTTTTCCCTTCAACAGTTAAGAACTCCTGGTCCCTGGGGAATGGGGTCAAAAACGATGAGGGGGAGTGCACTGGACTATGGTGATGGCACACGGGTGATTCAGTGATGGGAAACCCACAGGGATTACAACTGAGATGGAAAAAGGCACAAAATGATGTAAAAATAAACTATTATATTATTTTTAAAAAAAGAACTCCTGACCCCACACATGCCTCATTCTAGGGAGAAGGACCCTGTGGCCCCCGGAAAGTAACTTGTCCCAGATCACACATAACTTGTCCCAATCTGTCCAGCTGGATGAGACCCACGGCTCCTGGGCCCAGCCCACTGCTCTTTCCACTGGCTTCTGTGCCCCTTGCCCAGGACGTAGTCAAGGGTCATGTCTTCTCACTCTTGCAGGGGTAGGTGGCGTTCCGGGAGGCGTTCCAGGAGGCGTTCCGGGAGGCGTTCCAGGAGGCGTTCCCGGCGGCGTTCCCGGCGTGGTTCCCGGTGTTGGTGGTATTGCTGGTGAGCCACATGAGCACTGGACCTGAGGGGCCTCTAGCTCTTCCATGGGTATCATCCCTGAACCCCTCTCTCTCCTTTCAGGAGTTGGGGCTCCGGCCGGAGGCAAAACTGCTGCCCAGTTGGCCGCCAAAGCCCGTGAGTGCCCTGCCTGCCTGCCTTCTCTCCCCTGAGCCCAGGACCCCCCAGTGTGCCCAAGCCTGTGCTGGGCCCAGGCTGTGCAGCCTCTCCGGCCCACACAGCAGCCTCACTAGGTCTCCAAGGCAACAGAGGGGTTGCGAGCACAGATTTGATCTGCGGTAGACCAAGTTTCGAATCCTGGGCCCCAAGCCGGCTGGACACCCTGCTCTCCCGTGTGACCTGTGTGTGGGGAAACTCAGACAGTTGCTAGGAGACTTAAAGGAGGTCATCCAAGAGGGAAGAGCGACTGTTAGGCGGGGAAGGGAAGTGGTGTCCACAGTGAACCCGCTGAATGCATCTGGGGAGGGAACACTGAGTTTGGTGGGCTGCTGCCACCCACTGTCCACCTTCCCCAGGGGCTGCAGCTGGGCTTCCTGCCGGTGTGCCTGGATTCGGAGCTGGTGCTGGGGTTCCTGGATTTGGAGCTGGTGCTGGGGTTCCTGGATTTGGAGTTGGAGCAGGTAAGGAGGCATCTAAAGGCTGGGCAGAAATGCTAACTGAGCTCAGAGAAGGGAGTTCTCCTGCTCCCAGCAACCTCACACAGGGAATCAGGGTAAAGTCCCCGTAAGGTGCTCCTAAACAGTCAGCTAGGGGAGCAGGTGAGGAGCAAGCCAAATAAGGAGGCCCCAGGCTGCAGGCTCAGTTTCCTCGCTCAGTGGAAGGATGGCAAGGCTTCAGACTGAGAAAGAGGTCCCTGAGATGGGGGGGGGCCAGCTTGGTTCCCCATTAACAGTGTGCTATAGTAAGGGGGGATGGCACTAGGAACTCCAGTTCTTCAACTGGGGGTTCTGAACCTGTCTGTGTCTAGCCTCAGGAGGGCTACCCTGGGCCTAGAGGGGATACAGGGAGATAGAGAAGGAAGAAGCACAGTTCAGCTTTCAAGCATCCCATACCAGACTGCTAGCGGCATGGTTAGATGCTGGGACTCGGACCAGGCGGGAGGTGCTCCTGACGAGGGAACTATGGGTTCAGGGCTTTGAGGGGAGCAATGAAAACCAGAGAAGTCAGAGAGGGCTCTCTGGAGGAGGCAGAAGCCTCAGGCACAGAACTCAGGTGCTGACGCCACCCCTATGCTTTTCCTTTTTCTTTTTTTCCCAGTACCTGGATCCCCGGCTGCGGCTAAAGCAGCCAAATATGGTGAGTACACCCCTCCCGTGGTCAGGTCCACTGCTGCCCGCTTCACCCCCACGCCAGCCAGGGGCATTCCCCAGAGTTGTAGCACAGGACTGGGATGGGCAGGATGGAAAAAGGCAGTTTCTAAGACACGCTAATGATGCTTTTGCAGACCTGGCCCCTGGCCCTAAATGCCAGTCCCAGGACAAAAAAAAAAACAAAACTCTTGCACTTTCAGCCCCCAGAGGGCCACCTTAGAGAGGACATGGTCCCTACAGCCTCCATGGCCTGATGGTTTCAAGGATCCCAGGGCCAGCAGGGGGCTGGCCTGCTGGCTGTGAGGAGGCTGGATGGTTTCTGCCTCCCTGGCAGCAGAGCTCAGACTCCTGTCTGGGCTCCATCTCCCACCGGCCTCCCTGTCCACGGGACTGCAGGCCACCAGCCTGAGGACGTGGCAGACCTGCCTGCTCCCCTCTGCACTCAGGCAGCCCCCCCTTGTCAGACTCATGCTGTCTGTGGCCCCCACATTCCTGGCCTCATGGGAGCTGGCACAAAGACTCAACCAGGAAACCAGCCAGTCCTCTAGGGCCAGTTTCCACCTCGGAAAATCCCAGCTTCCTCGGCCCCCACCGCCTGGCCGGCGGGTTCCTGGCCGGCGGGTTCCCTGCTGTTCCGCTCCTTACTGGCTACTCTGCCAGCGGGCCACTGACACCATCAGACAGCGACAGAGGGCGCTGGCCCAGGGACCATGTCCAACCAGGAGCCTGTTGCTTAAACTCAGCCATGCCTCAGTTTGCGCATCTGTCAGTGGGGGTGCTAAGGGCACCCACCTTTCCTGTCACCGTGAATAATAAGCAAGTGACGCCTTTGCAGTGCTCTGGGGACTGAGAGATCACACACACTATGCTGTATGTGTGGCTGTTGCCAGCAGCTCTGAGCTGGATGACAGTGCCAAATTCAGCTCACAGCTGATGTGCCCTTTCATGCCCCCGTCATCTTCCTTAGGGAAGTGGGGCTCTGGGGCAACAGATATAAGTGGAGAAATCTGGACGCAGACGGGACTGTGAGCACGAGTCCTCCCCCGCAGCAGCTTTGGGTCACCGCTGGGGCCACCTTTGGCCCCCAGCACTGGCTCCAGGGAAGGAGGGGACACAGACAGCCCAAGGCGCAGGGGGCTGCCCCTGCCGAGCTGGCCAGGATGGAGCCAGGGGCTCTGGCCCCTTGCGTGGGAGCATGGTGTCCAGTGCTCCTTCCTTCAGTCCCCTGTCTGCTTGCTAGTGGCCCAGGGTCAGGGAGGCCCCGTCCTTCAGACAGAAGGACACTAACTGTCTCTCCTTCCCCCAGGAGCAGCAGGTGCAGGGGGTCTTGGAGGAGTAGGTGTGCCAGGTGGTGTGGCAGGTGAGTTGAACCCTAGGCTGGGCAGGGAGGGGACCTGGCTGGACAGTCCCTCGCTGAGGCTCTTTTGTTCCCAGGAGCTGGACCTGCTGCCTCAGCTGCTGCTGCCAAAGCTGCTGCCAAAGCTGCCCAGTATGGTGAGCGCTGGGGGAGGGGCACCTGCAGCCTCGGGCGGGCCAGACCACTGCATGAAGAACCTTCCCTCATCTGCCCACTGCCCCCTGGGAACGTCACCCCTAGCCCCAGTGGACCCTGGAAAGCCCTGGGAACTCAGGCCCCACCTTTATCGTCCAGCCCTCCTGGAGGCTCCAGTGAGGGACTGGGGAGCTAACGCACAGCTGTCTGTCTCCACAGGCCTGGGTGGAGCCGGAGGCCTGGGAGCTGGAGGGCTCGGAGCTGGAGGGCTCGGGGTTGGAGGACTTGGGGCAGGTGGAGCCGTCCCAGGCTTTGGAGGTGAGGGGCCGGGGGAGGGGGGACGGGGGGTGAGAGAGAGAGACTTTGTTTCTGCTCAAACTGCTCTTTGCCTCCAGTCCTGTTCCCACTTCACCTGCAACCCAGGGCGTAGGAGCCCCGCTTTCTACTCTGGGCTCCTGCAGGAAGCCTTTAGCGAGGGCCTTGACAAGCAGGACCTAGGGGTGACCCTTGAAGTTGAGGTCCCAATCTGCTCTCCCATACTCCTTCAACCTGCCTGAGGGTGCACGCGGAGTTCTTCAGGATGATGGCGGCTCCACCCATTTGCCAGGAAAGAAAACCAAAGTGCAGAGAGGAAGACCCCCGGGTGGGCCGGCGGGTGGACAGGCGGGCACCTGCCACCACAGGCTGCACCCAGCACTCCCTCTCCCATGAGCCTCTGCCGCCTGCTAGAGCAGCCGAGTCCTCCTGTGCGCTCCCCCACTGATGCACCCGGGGACCTTATAAAGATGTGGGGAAATGAATGGGTGGGGGAGGGGTGAAGAGATGGGCAGGATGGTGGTAAACGGTGAGCAGGGAGAGAGGGACGTGGAAGGAGGTGATGTTCCTGAACCTCATGTGCCCCATTTCCCCAGGCGTGTCCCCAGCTGTATCTGCTAAAGCAGCCAAATACGGTGAGTTGCTCCTGAGCCCTGCCCCCACCCGGGCGGGCAGGCTGCTTATCTGGTGCCCCCGGCTCGATCCCTGTGTCCCTGGTGCAGGCCTGGGTCCTGCTCACAGTAGCCTGGGAAGGTCCACTCGATATCCCCAATCCCTGAACTGAGAGGGAATGCCCTGGGCCCCTGAAACTGTGCCCTGTCCTGACTCCCATCTGCGCTCTTCTCAGGTGCCGCTGGCCTTGGAGGTGTCCTGGGAGCTAGGCCCTTCCCAGGTGGAGGTAGGGGACATAGCTGTGAAATCCTCAGCTCAGATCTAGAAGAGACCTGTCAGTCTAGCAGAAGGGGCCTCGGGGTCTCCTCGGGGGCAAGACAGAGCAGGTGGAGGGGACAGATCCAGAGACAAAGACCCAGGCAGAGGGGCAGGCCTCAGGTTGGTGCCACACTTTGGGCCTCACGACCCAGGTTGATGAGCTGAGGCCACAGCTACCCCTACCAGAATGCCATTTGGGGGTAAGGTTTGCTAAGAAAGCTGCTCTGGTTTGGGGGAGGCGGGGTGGAAGGGGGCTTGGGGTAGGTTGTCACGGGCAGAGAGGCCAGAGGTGACAAGGGCCAAGTGCAGCCTACCCCATGTCAATGCAAATCTCTCCTACAGGAGTTGCAGCAAGACCTGGCTTCGGATTGTCCCCCATTTTCCCAGGTCAGCCCCACCCCCTGACCCCTCTCCTCTCCCC